AACCGTTAATCTTGGTTTATTTTATTGATACTTACTTTTATACCTTAATATGCTGGACATTAAATCCATAGTTATTATTTAAATTTTTTTCATATTTCCATTGGTTATAAATTATGAAAAAAGTAATCGATGTTTCTAAAAATTTGATTTAATCATTCAAAATCTAAGATAACTACACAGAATATCTATATTAAAAATACATTTTACTGCAGCTTCGCTGTTTTTTAAAGGTAGATTTTAAACATTACAATATTGAATATTGTAAGGCAAATAATAATATTGAATTAAAATGTTTTTGGATTATATGTAGGTAAGTAAAACACATTAACTATCATGTGAAGGTAATTAACGGTATTTAATTAATAAATAATTAAAAGTAAATTATTAATAAATCACCCTCGTATATCCAGTGAACCCTATATATAAACATTTTATTTCAATAGTATTAGAGGTATAATATTATAGCATTGGAATATATTTTAAGATAATATTAGAACACATAGATTAGAATTAATTGAATTAGTCGAGTTAAGTAAAATATTAATTTAAGATAAAGGTAACCTTAATATGACAATATTAAGATAAATGATAATCGATTAGAACGATAATCACTAAAACATATAAAATGTAGCATACATAAACTGTAGTACTCAACTACCCAAGTCTAATCATAATATTTGAGAATGTTGAGTAAAGAACGACTCCTCCCTGTATTAACTTGGTCTTTTTTTTCCCCATGGTATCGATAACTGGAGGGGGGACTGCGTTAGCATCAAGTCCCCTAAAGCATTACGTCCCCTATATTAACTTGGTCTACCACACTTAGTTTTAACTTTTAAAGCAACTTAAAATTAAATTATACTTTGCGCAGATACATACATCGTATAGTGATGCCGAGCATCGAATTCGACCAAGTAAAGAGATCTCCTCGAATTCACCAACCTCGCACATTGAACAATACTATTAAAATGAGCGAGGTTAGTGAATTTAGATATATCTTTAATATAACAATCACAATATACGTAAATTGAACAAGCAATAGTGTGCAGTAGACAGTATAGTAGAATATAAACTTACTCGGGCACATACCCTCAGAATAATAAAATAAAACTACCAGCCGGACTCAATGACACCAGGACGAGAAAACACATAATATTATGTATTCTACACATATATCAAAAGTACTATTCAAAATACATGAAAATTACATTTTTCCTCAAAAATGTATATTACTTATATTTTATCATTTAATTGTTAATTAGTTTTTTTTTCTATGAGTATTGTTAAAAAACATTTTGTTCATTCAAAAACCTTTATCACAATGTTCCTCATATACAATTTTTTAAAAACGGGTAAGTGGGTGTCACTGTACAGTAGGGTACAAGTGGGCCACTGTAATGAATGATGTTAAAATTGAATTCAATGATATAATTGATTATTATCATTGTAAACGATTCTGATGGTTTGTCAACCTACGATATTTTATATTATGTTCATATTGTTATTATTAATATGGTAGCCCTTAAGTTGAATCAATATTATTTGTATATTATAATATTTGTATAGTATAATAATATTATACTTAAGAAGTTTCAAGTACCCACGAATAGTACTTTTAAATTACAGCACAAAAATAAAATCATTGTTCTTCATTTAAATATCTAATTTCGTCCAAATTTGAACTTAAAATAACTATAACAAAAAACTGTTTAAAAAAATATTGAAATTACAATTTATTTTTGCATTAGAGCCGTATAGGAATAACTAAATTCATGTGAACTAATGTTTCTTTGTAATTGGTACCTAAAATTTATGTGGGCAATTTTTCTGAGTGATACAATATAAAATATATTCTATATTCTCAGTAGAATTTAAATTGTAATATTCAGGTAGGTATGTAACAATTTAAATTATCGAATTATTCAATTATGTAAGTAAAACCAGACAGTGATAATAAGTTATTAAATTATATAAATTATACAATGATCGAAAAATAGCCAGGAGCTACATGTATCAGTAATTAAAATCAAAAACATTGAACATTTTATATTTTTTTATTGTAATGAATAATATAACGAAAAATATATTAGTGCCATACTTTCTAAGGAATTTTTATTGGATGTAGATAATATCATGATTAAACTCATATATTATATGAGTTTAATCATGGTAAGTTGTAATAAGTAGGTATCTAATTTATTGATCCCAGGAATTAGGAGAAATATATTTTTTAAAGCAATTTAAATCAAAGGATAAAACATGTAAACGAAAAATTGGATGGACATATTGACATCCCACCGTCTCCTCCACCTTTGACGACGGTCTAAGTATGATACCTATTATAGAGTATAATATCGAATTTTATATTTTATACATTATTTATATAATATTTATGCAAAAAAACAAACATTGACGAATGTGATGTATGGTAATAAGTATTATATTTAATAGTATATGTATTCAATATTTATTTTTTATTTATTTTTTATTTATTTTTTATTTGACTCAGTTTTCATACTTCCAAGTTCCAACTCTAGTAAGACTCAATAGTTTCTGTATGTGTATTTGCTTGTAAATGCATTTACATCCACGATCAACTAAATAGTTTTTCTCATACAGACTACCATTTGAAAAGTTGGTACTCTAACGAGAGCCCGACTTCGAGTAACGCCCTGGGGCCTATTAATCCAGATGTGCTAGTGATACTAATGATATCACTCATTAATTATTCATGCCTATACGTTCTTATACATATAATACATTAAGTACAGTACATTTTTATAAATCACTCATAACAATACTAGCAAACTTACAATCAATACATAAATGTATTACACAAACTTCACATAGTTATAAAATGTATTTGCTTTTAATCCCCATAGTCCCGATCCCTCAAACGGTAGGATTGTAGCCTGTAGGGAAGTACAACAGGTGGTTCCGGGATGTTATTAAAAACAAACCATACATAGGTATACATAGGTACCAATAGTCGTTTATTTTATTTTATGATATAGATATAAATAAATCAACACTTACCACGTTGAATAGGGTATCTTGAAATGTTGTTTCATCATTTATACTTACAAGTTACAACTTTAACGTTAAGTGATTTTGTACGTAAACGAAAATATTAAATATATAAAACATTGTGATGTGATCGATGATTGTAGAATACAGTAAAATTATAAATACAGTTCTTCTATACTCTTTAGACCTTATTTATTTCAATAATTGATTTGTAAAATAGTATTTAAGGGTCTAGATTTAACACGATATATCATAATATTAGGTATGTTGAACATGTTCAGTGGGGCCCATTATCTACTTGAAGAATAAATAAAAATAAAAAATAAATAAATGTATATAGATCCAATACATATAGCACTACAGTACACACACAATATTTTGGTGGCAAGATATGAATTACTTTTAGGTAGTTTTAAGCTGTCCTTAGATTTATATTTGTGGTTTTACCACAGTTTTAATATTATAATATATACATGGCCGAAAAAACAACAAAATATTAAATATTAAATACTTATAATAACTACACACAGAAGCTCAAATACTTATGCGGGTTATTTAGTTATTATTTTTAATTATATAATAACTATAATATATATAATAACTATTATATAATTGTAATTTTTTTAAGTTGTGATTTTATGCCAGTTTAAATATAAGTAAATCTATCAATGTTATTTTTAATTGATCGTCAGAACTGATATTAAACATTTCTTTTTCATTTCATAATTTTTTTTGTTTGCTGATTTTATATATTTTTAATCCTCTTGTATGAATTAGTTTGTATTTTTAAATTAAATACATGTGAAAACAACAAAACATATTAAGATGCTCTTAAATAAATTGTGAGTTAAGTTTTGGATGAGACATTCTCATCTGTTTTTATTTGTTTGTTTCGATGATATTGAAGATAATGCCCATGTTTTCGGATTAAATTTAAATGTTTTATCAATGTAATTATTACATATATGATCACAGAATTAATTTAGTCTACCAGTAAGTTTCTTTCAGGTAAAAAGGTGTAGTTTTCACAACCTATTTCACAAAAAACTACATCTTCATTAAAATCCTTTGATTCCAATCTATAGTCTATACTCTTTTAATCTTATAAAATATATTAGCCATCGTCTAAAAAGAAATTGATTGAACTCCACTCTGTAAAGTTTTTTTTTTATATAGGTAAAGGCTATGTTCGTTACGTATCGTTGTAGGAATCGTATAAAATAATGTAATACACTTAGGTAATATATTTTTGTAGTATATTCATTTTGCGTTTACATAATGGATAATGTTATAATAAATTAATACTATCAAGTGTAGAATGTAGATAATAATATATAATGATATGTGAGAAGAAAAAAATGTAAAATAAACATATAGAACTTGATAATCCCAAACACGATAATGGTATTGACGATTTCAAATTATGTGTAGGTGTGGCCTTGTGCAGTATGATAGTATTATGGATATTGTATTAAATGTGTTAAACATCATTAAAAAGATAAAGTAAAACTAATATAACTCAATAATGACTATTAAAAACCGAAAAAAATATCAAGTATACATATTGTGTAATATTCGTGTAGAAAACATCCTGAAATTAATTTTATTTCAAAACGGTCGTCCACTTGCATGGTGGAATAAAATGTAAATTTATTGTAAAATAGAATGTTTTTCAATACCATATGTCCATATTACTATAAATGTTCTATTGTTATAATAATATATATTTATATTTGTAGCTAGCTGTTGCTTATAATAAATATTACCAAGCCGGGTGCCCACTATAAAGCACGGCGTGTATAACTGAATTTATGTACAGGTAATGCGTGTAATCGACATTTTGTCACCTACCTACTTTGCAAATCCGTCTGGTTAGGTTAGGTTCTGATAATGAAAAATAGACTGAATATAGTAGGTATGCTAATTTTAAAAGTGGTATACATAATACTTTGATTAGAAGTTCGTTTTATGAATTATTCACCATTTGTTGTTTCTAAACTATTTTCTTGAGTAGTATTATTTTTATTTCGTTTTTCTTCAAGTGCCGCCTTTCTATTCTTCTTGATGTATTTTCCACTGTACAAGGATATCGGGTGTGATGATTGTGACATTTCTACAACTGGAAAATTATTAAAAATAAAATAACGTAATGCTTATTAAATACATTTATTGGAAAGTTAATATAAATTTATAAAGGGAATACATTTTTTATTTGTCTCAACTTTGTACAAAAAAAATATTAGGTACCTACGTAGTAAATACTTGGAAGTAGGTAGAGAATTTACTTTAAAACATGAATGTTTCTAGAACTGAAACAAGTTTATTTGAATAAATCAGTAGGTACTATTTATATTTTGTATATTTCATTATTATATTTGATTAGTGATGTATTTTCAATATTGTACAATTTAAATTGTATATATAATTACTGTCACCACTCACCAGTCACCTTATATTGAATGTTATAAACTTATTGTAGCTTATACTTTATACTATTACAGACTATAGTAATGTAACTAACCCCTTAAAGTATAATTTCGGATTTTAATTGCCGCTCCAACTATTTTTAAACGCGTAACAACCTTAGAATATGAGAGACATAACACAAAATGTAGGAAGTATCAAGCATGATTGGAAAAAAAATTTAATTTAGTTCTAATCTAAAAATTCTTAGCTTAACTATTTATTGCTATGATTAATAGTACAATAACTAAATAATAATAAACTAGATTATAATTTTCTTATAACAAATGTACGGATATTTTAGATTTATAAGCCTTATGAGATTGTAAGAAAATCTAGTTATATAATTGTTCGTTCACGGTGCTAATTCAAAAAAATAAATTTTATAATAGGTATAAAAATTCAAAGTAAGTAGATATATTATATTTTACAACCACCTCCATTATTTGGAAACAAATAGGCGAAAAAAGAATAATGATGAATTTGTGCTTGTATAGGTAATTAACTGCAAAAAATTGTATCATCCAATCGGGTAATAAATAATTATTATTATGAGATATAATTGGAACTAAATAGTTTACCACTGCTTGAGTTGCGGTGTGTCATCTTGAAGATATTTTTGGAAGTTACTGCAGTTATAAACTTAGGAGTTGTGAAAGTATATAATAATGGATTGGCCAATGCATTGATTGGCACAACAAAAATTATTATCCATACGTACGTCTTACCTACAATTAAATTTTTGTAGTTTAGTTAGGATACAGTATAGACTATAGGTTCTATATAAGAATACTTTTATATATCAAATAAAAGAAAAATATACTTTACTTGAAACATGATATTTTCTTAATGCCGCGAATTTCAAAATTATGATTGGTAACCAACATAAAACATTCGCCAAAACAATGAAAAAGAAACGAACTGCAAAATCGAAATCACCAGCAGATATGTGGGCAGCTCGTCTTGTTTTTTTGACACTTATAAACATTAATGCATACAAAACGGACATAAGCAATAAACTGTAATGGCAATAAAGGGTTGTTACTTATAAACTTAATACTAATAAATGTAAATAATATTTTGATTGATTTTCAAATAATTATATAGGTAATTTAAAAACTACCTTATTGGATGTAATCCTAAAAACATGAATGCTGAATATTGCCACCCACCAACAAATGGGTCTTCAATATATAAAGGATAGCACAAACCATTAGAACCGTAAAACCTTGACGAGTGCTTCCATAAAATCACTATTATAATTAAATTACATTATAATATTAGTAAAATTGTATATAATTGTGTATATATGAATACAATTTGATATTGCGTTATGTACTTTAAATTTAATGAATGGCAATACATAATATTTTTGTACGAATAATACATTTTGATATAATATCTGATTCTAAAATTTCAAAATCATTAATTATAAATAAGTACAAAAAATGTAATTGTATAATTATTATAGTATCACATAGTAACACATAGTATCACAACCAATAGGGTATGAAGATAACTCCAACCATGTACGTATATATTATACATATAACTTGCAAGTTAAACAATATTATATATGGATTAAAACAAGCACCGAGGTATTGCAATACCAGGCTTACAGAATTTCTATGCAAATTCAAATTAAACTTCAGCATCGGTGTATTTACAAATAATTTAAAATGAAGTGAAAATTATTTTGGCTTTATTTGTTGATGATGGACTGATAGCAGCAAACAATTATATTTTAAATAAATGTTTGAATAAATAGTTAGAAGCAACGAGAGCAGAATTTAAAATAACAAGTATCTCATTCAATTATTTTCTCAGTATAGATATTTTTAAGTTAGAAAATTAATATTGTACATAATAATATGACTAAAGCAATTACATGAACAAAATTATATTTGAATATTAAATATTAAATGCTAAAGAATAATCTTCAGCAATTGATAGTTTATATACAATTGGCCTAATGACATCCATATTCCAATAAAATTCAAATAAAACGAAGAATGATATTTATTATTTGCAAGCAGTAAATAGCTTATTATTTTTATCTTATAGGTCACCAGACCAGATATAGCATAGACAGTTAATTATGAAAGTATTATTTTTTTTTTAAAAACCTTAATGGCTTAATCAAGTAAATTGGGTTTTAGTGAAACGCGTTTACGGTGTGTAAAAATACAGTTAATTACGGACTATATTATGAATCGAATTAATGTTTTTTCACTAGACAAATTGAATGCTGTAACTTGTAGATTCGTAATTGATGATCAAACACAAATATAAACACCAGGATATAAATTTAAAGTAGGATCTTCAATAAATTAATAAACATCACGAAGGCAACACAGTGTAGTTCAGACGCATGTTCAGTCGCTTTCATCAACAGATGCGTTATAAATTGCAGCAAGCGATCTAATGAAATGTATTATATTATAATAAAGTTGTTTAGACTTATTTACAGCATTAAGTCATTTTAACGACTATGGAGGCCAAGTTCAAATTACATTATGCATCGACAATCAACCAACCAATCAGCTCTTTATCGATAGAAATCCAGAATTCCACAAACGCATAAAATAAAAAGATGTTCGATACCATTTCGTAAGAGAAAAATAATATAAAGTAGGAACTTCAGGACTGCAATTTATGGGACAGTGGAACAAATAGCATACATTTAGACAAAACCACTTCCAAAAAAGCAATTTCATACATTTAGATTAGCATTTGTAGATGGATAGATTTTTTTTTTTTTTTTTTTTTATTATTTGTTCATTGAAACGACCTCTAGGTCTTCGTCAATGCTTATCACAAGTGGGTAGTAGGGAGATCATGTGATCTATTTATCTATGTATATATCACTGCATGCATGATACTACCCCCCTTCTCCTGCAAGAGGAGGCATGTGCGGTCTTCACTCCCAGTGGAGTGGGACCTAGTTGGAAACCAGATGACGCAATCGGACGACAGCGGGGGGAAATGGTGATCGCGTAGAACCACACAAATTTATTTAGCACTGAGCTATGAATCAAACCGATGACTGTGTGAGTCGTAGTCAACTGCGTGACCACTGCGCCACTCTGGCCCCAAGAGATGGATAGATGGATAGATAGATAGACAATATAGTATTAAATAAATAAATTATCTATTAATTAAGTGACATTGTTAAAATTGTTAAATAATTAGTTTTTTATGTTGGATTGTACCGTAGTCCGTAGTGCACTAGTGTCATATTGTTATTGTAAGTAACGTGTTCAAGCACGCCATTAAATTATCTACTATTTCCATAACAGGGTCAAAGGAAACTGGTTTTTGCAAGCAGTACTGTAGCTGCAGCAGGGCTTGCATTTGAAAAAATATTCAGTTTTATGTTATTTACAATTAAAACGTTATTCAACTTTTGCGTTTATCGTTATTCAGAATTAAAACGTTATCCAAGCTTTGCATTTATCGTTATTTAAAATAGTACCTATAATACCTATTAAATTTAAAAATAATTACTAATTCGGGTAGGTAATGGCCCGGATAAGGAATATAATATAGTTAATCAGTTCTTAGATTGTTTGCATGAAATAAATGTTTCTACGAAACCTTTTAAATAAATAGACTTTAAAATATTCCGTTTTGTGTTATTTTTTGTCCAATGATATTCAATAAATTACGTTTTGCGTTATTTTTCGTTTAACGATAATCTATAAACTACGTTTTGATTTATAATATATTTTGTTAATCGTTATGTTTTGTTATTGGTATTTAATTATTTTTGACTATCGCCTTCCGTTATAATTACATTTATAAATTGCAATTGTTTTTTGTCAAATATAACGTTATGATAATAACGTTATTATAATATGTTTTCAAGCCATGAACTGCGGTATAGAATAAGTACCTACCTATTGCACGTATGCAGTTGTTTGTTTATTTGTAACTATAAGTCTAAATAGTAATTATTAGTGTCGATCAGTATATGTGTTTTTTATTTAATCTAAATACTTGGCCTATATTGACATACCTATCCTAATTTAACAAGAAACAATTTCTTGTATAATACTTACTTGGCGCTATTGATATACTTATCCCAACCGCCCAAATTGATATCATACAGTAAACGGCTGTTTTCAATTTCAGTACTTGATATCCAGAAAATGGTACAGCTATGAGTAAGAATCTTTCCAAACTGAGAAACACCAGCATGAGCATAGATACCTATATCCAAAAATATTGACAAATTATTTTTAAACGGTTGTAAGTGGTGAAATTGTTTATGCATTTAAACCAGGAAGCGCAGAATACCACTGCATAATTCCAGATGTCAAATTTTTAACAAACTAACGATCGTTAGCATACTTTATAGAATATTATGAAGAAAAGAGTATAAGACAATTCACTAACCATTTATCTAATTATTTGGAAAAAAGTAAAACAATTTCCCGCTTTAAAAGCCACGAAAAAAAAATATTTACACGCATGCTCGAGAAGAAGCAATATTAGTTAAAATATTTTTTCAAATTAGTTTCATTACCAACATCAGATTTCTTAGTGTTTTATTTTAATTATTTTAAAAATAATAATCAACAAATTGTGAGGAAAATTATTAAAAAAGTTATTCTAAACATTTTATTTGTAGTTTTTATAAATATTTCAAATTGTATACTTCTGACGATATCACGGCCATAATCCCAATTATAGTACACAAAATAGATGACTCCCACTCGTGAGCATACAAATAATATTCATTCCGGTATATTTGATCATGATAACCAATAACCGTTAAATATATCACCATAAATAAATCTGCAACTGAAACATATATATATGTGAAATGTATATATATTAGTTCATGCTTAAGAATTTAACTTCAAAAATCAATGTACTTGTTATTACCAGCTAAATTCCGTATGACAAAGTTTATTGCTTTATTTTCATCTCCAAAAGTACTAAACATCCGACCGTATAACACCAATGCGTTAAAAATCAATGTTAGGACTGTCACCATCCATAGAAACCATCGAAAAGTTGAATTTGGTAGGAGGTTTAAACTTGATGATAACCCTTTATATTATATTGTACAGTTTATTTGCCATGAAACAATTATATTATGCTTAGGTTGAATATTTAAATTATGATAACTATTAATTTATCTAGATATTATTTAATTTATTGTTCGCACTTACCATCGGTATTTGGTAAACAAAAGTCAACATGTGGGGCGTACAAAACACAATAATGGAATTCTTTCAAGTAACTGAAACAAAACCAATAGAGCAATTTACATTTCAGTGTAAAAACGCTATTTTAAATATAATCTGCTCACAGATATTCCAGCGTAGTCAAGTTATGAAATAATGACATTTCAATATTTTCTTTATTTATGCCATTCATATCTCTGTAAAATATATTTTCTTTATAAAAATCGTATTATAAAAAAATCATTCTTTTATTTTAATTTATATAAACAATACAAATATTCATAATATTAGCAAAAAAATGTACTCTATCTTGAAAAAGAAAAATAATAATCATTACTCTACAGAGAAATAAAAAAATCTAACAATACCTATACCTCTTACTTTTATCTAACTGTGATATTTATAATGAAATGATACACTTGAAATTAAATTTGATGGAAAAATTATAACGTTATTTATAATATATTGTGTACACAAAGGCCAAAACTGAAAATAAATATCTCTTCATTTCTATGTACCTTACTGAAGTACCTACCCTCCCTTTATTAAATGATTCAAAACTTATACACATATTATTATTTTTTTCAATGTTGTCTGTTATTATCTTATATTAGGTATATTTTAATTCCCCCCCCCCAATTCGGCCTGGTTACCTACTGTAATAATGAGATCCAAGGGTGTCTACCATGATTTCAAATTTGTATACGTAATTAAGTATGTTTAGTAACTTACTTTATTTTGTAATAATATTATAATGACAACTCATATTTAATTATGAACCATGTACAATATTTATATTATTTAATTATATCTAATATTTATGTGCTAATACAAAACCCTACAGCTAGTAGGTATCTAGATATATAAATACATCCAAAAATCATAAGTTAATACAATTTAAATTTTCAACAATTCAAAATTTTAAAAATGTAATTTAATTTAAAGAAGTTATGAATATATAAAGTGAACTAGATAGTAAATAATAATAGCAATTTAAGTACCTAATGTAAACAAGTTATACTTAAGATTTATGGGAGAGGAGTAAAGCCCCTTCTTGTTCTTGGAATATTATTTCTTTTGATTTATTTTATCATTTTTATTTTATAAAGAAGATAATTTGAAGTGAACACTATCAATTAAAATATACTCATGACCTTCGTAGATCTCTGATCCAGAATTAAATGTATAAATAGTAAAACAAAATTAATTTTCATTTTAATCATCATCTATTTTTTTTTTTTTTTGTTTACCTAATTAAACTATGTAATACATATTAATAAATAATTTATCATGTTTATACCAACTTTTTAAAATGTATGGATACCTAGAATATTTGTACGTCAAGATCACTTTAACATAGGTAAGTAGGTTCATTAAATATAAATATTTATGAAGATACTTAGGTACATACGTTTAAATATTATAACGAAATGAAAAGGTAGGTTATTGGTTTTATAGGTATTTTAGTATTTATTAATACATGTATTATGTTATTATTATTATCTATTATTGTAATAATAATTAAGATACATCACCGTTAACCATCAAAGTGCATCATTTACATCAATATAATAATAACTATATATTTCCATTTTAAGCCACAAAACATCTCAAGTTTCAGATTTATGAAACCTTATTATAAGAATTTATATATTACTTAAATAATATTTACACAGTCGCTGAATGTAGATAGGAAATAGGTATTACATTAATAATCCATGCGATAACTAAGATAAAGTGTCATGATTTTATCTTTTTATAGGTTTCATGATTTTACACTATAAATTGTGTTAAAGAAGTGCGCGGCACAGATATGAAAAATATAATTATTGAAAGTGGTCGTAGTAAGAAGAAACTAATATTGTATACTTAATTTAAAATGTCTTGTTAGTTGGTATAAAAAGGGTCTTATACGTTTGTGGTATGCAATTAAAACTGTACCTACAGCAAAAGTGTACACAAATGAAAATGATACAGTTTTTAATAATGCAAACATGAAATAAGCCATAGCACAATCATATTGAATATTCTAGACTCCTGCTAAAAAAAAACCGAAGAGACTACGAAATACAAAGTTTATTGATCAGCATGAAAAGAGAGAATTGTGTCGATACGTTTATAACAACCTTATAGCCTACAACCATACAAAGTCAGTATTTTTAATTAACAAAATATATAACTTGCAGACGTATTCTACGTGAATACAATTTAAATAAAAAAAATAACATATTAATATTATGTAAATATTTTTTTAGTTATTACAATATATGCTATATTTATACTATATTGTGTATTCGTGTAACGTTAATTTGTATGAATGTGTTTTTTTTAAACATTTTTATATTTATGAATGACTCCCTATAGTTTTTAAAATAAGTGGTTTCAAAATGGAAATTTAGGTATAATATAGTGGTGGTAAAGGTACTTGGAGTTTTATGGAATTTACAAATGGAACAAACAAATTTTGATATAATCTAAGTAAAGAAGTGTTTTATTCTCATAGTATATCCATAAAAATGAATAGCCATACAAGATATAACCAAAAATTCGCAACTGAATTAAAAATTGAATAGTACATTAGTAACCAGTAACCACTATACTGTTTTCATAATTATTTAAATACATAATGGTTTTATGAGGCACATAATACATTAGAAATTCAAAGTTCCGGTAAGTACTTGAATAATTTACTTCTATCTACAATAAAAACGAAAAATACTTACCTAACTAGCTAAGTGTAAAAAATAAACATTAATAAAATATTTAGAATAATTAATATACGTTTATCGACTACTCGGATCGTTGTATACGAAGTAGTCGAGTAGATCACTGTTTTTAGTGGGTAAACATTTTAACATTAAAATATTATTAGATAATATTATTAATATTATTTTAACATGTTAACATTTTCTGCATATTGTTAAATGGAATGATGTACCTATAATATAATTTATCATACATTCAAAACTTCAATTGAACACAATATTATTATCGCATTTAAGTTATGATTTTGAAGAGGAATCTTTTCACTACTAGTTGTGTAACCTACCTGATATTTTTAATTTAAGAATTCATACGACAATTTTATAAAATTCCAAAATGTATCATGTATATTACACATTTATAATATTTGGGTAGTTGGAATATGATACAATGAACTTTTGTAGGTATGTGCTTTTCAGAATCATTAAATTATTCAACCAGGTAGGTACCAATTTTTCATGAGTGATTTCATTGTACAGAAAATGTATTCGTTACATATGAATAATTTATTGTATTACATTAAAATTGTAAATACAATAATTTTTTTAAAAAAAATTTGTGAATTAAATTTGATTGAACTCAAGGACCCGGATATAAATTATATGTAATTTTATTAATATGTATTTAAGCGCAACGTAATATGAATCTTCAAAATAAATACAACTTACAACGAAGAGAGATTTTTCATTTCTGTGAAAATAACATTATTTATTCTTGTAATTGGATTATTTCTTAAAACTCTAAAAAAAAAAAAAATTGTATTAACTGATTCATAAAGTGTAACGTAAAATTACAATTTATCTAATATTTTTAATGGATGTAGCATTTCCTGTGTGATTGTTGTAATGCGATTGTCAGCTATATTTCTGTAACATTGATTATATACACTTGTGTAAAAATAAAAATATTTATTTATTAATAAAAACTTTGTATCATTACAAATCCGAAAGATTCAATAAGTTTTGAAATGCGTTTTTATGAACCACTGTGATTACATTGTTACTTAAGTTCCTGGAAACAATGTAAAATATATAAAAACCATTATTTATATGAAGAATGTTGGTATGGTATTATTGTTTTATTTTTAATCAAATTAAATAAATTGTCTTACAAAACCGATAGATTTGGTAAGTCTGCGAACATGAACTCATTAATTGTTTCAATACGATTCCATTGCAAATGTCTATTACGATAACGCAAAATAAATATATATATATATATATTTAATTTATTTTTTATAATTAATATGTATTAGTGATATAATGTAAAAGAAAATACTTACAACATTTCAAGATTCGTAAAGAGTGGAAAACACTCGTTCTTAAAAGTCAATAAATTATTTGACAGATATCTAAAAAATATATGTAAAATGAAGCAATTAAAAAATATATGTACCAAACATTTTGACTCTTACATCCATTGTACTTTGACCATATGTTTCCAGGAGTTCAAATTTAAAAACACCAAGTGATTATTATCCAAAAATAGGGTTCTAATATTATCCAATCCGTAAAGGGCGTCTTTTTCCAAAACATTCAATTCGTTACGTAATAAAAAACTGAAAAATATATTTTGTTTGTATTAAATGAAAATGATTTGTCAATAGCTATCTAGATATTAACTGTTTGTAATAAATACAGTTATTTATAAATGTAATCAGTGGCGGATTTAGCGTCAGGCAAAGTAGGCAGTTGCCAATGGTGGGCAAGTTAATGAAAATAATTAACTGTGGAAAGTTAAGTTAATTCATTTAAATTGCCTTCAGTTAAGTTAAAAGTTAACAAGGAAAAAAAAATTAACTAGATAAGTTTAAAGTTAAGAGAGAAAATAAAATTAACTTATCTCAGTTAAAAAAAAGTTAATTTTTTTGAAGGTACAATATTTTTAAGTCATATACTACCATAATATTTTGTTATACAAAAACATTTACCAAGATATTTAACACTGTGTAAAAAATTAAATTATTATAATACATAATTCGAAAATAAATTACTAAAATCGTAAAAAAGTCGACCAATCGGTATTGCCTAGTTGATTACGCATGACTCAAAAATTAAATTAACTTAACTGCATGACAATGATAATTAACTATAAAAAGTTAAGTTACTACAATAAACATTTTAACTGAATAAGTTAATAAGTTAAAAACAAAAATAATTAACTAGTTAAGTTAAAAAGTTTAAAAAAAATTAACTTTAACTTTTTAACAAGTTAATGCCCACCTTTGGCAGTTGCCTAGGGCGGCAAATTTTTAGGGGCGGCAATTTTAGGCCAATATTTTATTGAGAATACTCTAGGTTTCTTTTTGATTTTCTAATGTACGGTGATTACTCTGAAGGGTGGAAAAAAATGTTTAATATTTAAGTATAATAATATTCTTGTTAATATAATTTCTTCTTTATTTTATAATACATAACAATAAACGTCCAAGTAAATTATCGAACGACTACCGGAACGTAGATCTATTATCTAAATACTAAACATAGATAACATATTTCGTTATTTTGTTTTTTTTCTAAGTCGTAATAATTATTAATAATCGCTCGTAGTTCGTTTGATCGCACAGCGTACACACACTAAACGCACAATACATATAGATATGATATATTTAATACGAATACGGGTGACGATCGATTCGTATTGGAACAATAGTCTAATTATAAACCAGTCACTGTGAATATTTGTATATAATATACTCGTACGTACTATGCATTATGACCATTATTTGCACAAAAATAAAACTTTTTCTATCCAAAAGATATAATTAATAATTATAATACTATAATTTAAATTTGATTGAAAACATGAATTTTTCGAAGGAACTTAATTATATTATCTATATTATAATTATATTTGATTGGTACAGCAAATTTATTCAAAAAAATGGTGATGTATTATATTTTAATAGGTAAATATTGTATTGTTATACTATTTACTTGATTAGAACAGTTTATTAACATAACCGCCATTAATTATTGTTTAGTATCAGTCTTTATGACTTGTTTTTTTAGTACATATGTTAAATAAGTATTTAAAAATACGTTTTCTTGTCGATAAGTTTAATGGGGCGCCAAAAAAAAAATTGCCTAGGGGCGGCAATCGTGTAAATCCGTCTCTGAATGTAATAAAAAAAAAATTAAAAACTACTTACAGATATCTTAATTTATTTTGATATTTAAAGACGAACGGAGGTATTACAGCCAATCTATTATTTTCTAAGTGGCTGAAAATAAATATTTAGACATACTATGAATTATTGTTTTGATCTTGTATATTTTACCTTTTAAGTGATCACTTACATCATTACCAACGAATTATACCCATCAAATGAATCGTTAGAAAGAACTATATTGTTGCTTCTCATTGCTCTAAAATACATTGATATAATATTGCATGACTATAATATATTATATTTTATAATTATTGCGATTATAAATAAATTGTAGTTGATACGAACTATTTTAATAGAAATTAATTATGTATGAAAATTATATTAATATAATATATAATTACTCTTATATCAAAACAAGTAAGCTAAAAGGAGTTGCATTAATACCTACTTAGTTAATTATGTAATTCAGTTTTTTTCATAATATTATATGGGTACCACAATTTAAGTCGTATAAAAATATTTTAATGCATTTGTTAAGATACATATTGTAGCCTTTTTGAGATTGCTCATAGCATCGAAATCATAGAAAAGGACTGCTGGTATTTTTAGTATTTGAGAAACCCATGATACTTAGGTCATGATCAAGTGATTACCATAATTTATTAACAAAAATAACGCTACACCGGTTTTTTTTTTCAAAATCATAACAAAAACAACTATTTTATAAGCACTGAGTTGGTTTTCAATACCATTGAGAATACTGATATACTGTGGTTTAGTAAATTATATTACCGTAGTTACCGCAACAATTCAGTGTCTCTGTAATTATTACGGAAATACACTACAATGTTATCGGTAATACCGTTGATATCGGTAGTATAACAAAATATACTTACCTATATTAAAATGTAGAGCAATACAAGCCTCATCTTATCCTATGTATTAACCACTGAAGACTGACTATCAGAGGTTGAGAGGTGTATTTACGATTCCTTTTACTCATTATCACAAAAAACTTTTAAACCCCTCTAATTAGAAAATTTACTTTTTCCCTCCGTTAGAAGCGATACCCCTGCAAAATATATTTCCTCCTTATTGCATTTCACTTCCTCTAGTTTAGAGAACACTTTTACTTTACCATTAATACTCCATTTATTCTTAATAAAAAGCTCAACATTTAAATTAAATAAAACAAATTATAATTTTAGATTTTAGCATTTGATTTTTTTGTAAATTGTATTTATGACTGTATAATAAAATATATTATAGAAATATGTATAGAAATATAAAAGATATAATAAGAAAAGATACAGGTATTATCACTTATCAGTTATCACTAAGTTAATTTCTCAACAAATCCAATAAAATAAAAAAATAATTTTTTTTCTTAATGGTGCTTAATATTATAGATTTCTAACCACATTTGTTAACGTACATTTCCCCACCACCACTCATTTCAGATTATTTCGTAATAATAAAATATTTAGATTATTTACTTACATTCTTTTTAGATTAGAAGAAATATTTCTTGGCACTTTCGTCAGTCCAACACTATTACATCGTAACCATGTTCCGATCAAACAATCACACTTGGCGGGATAATTGTTTAAAGCTAAAGGGCAGTAAGACAGCTAGTTAAAAATTAAAATGATAATAAATCGGTTTTCTTATAGTTATAAATATTAAGTAGGAATGAACTATGTGCACAAGTGTACAGCTACCTGAGTTAGCTGAGCTACCCGAGTATCGAATAGTAGTATACATATGTGTAGTGAGCACAAATGACAATGCGAATTTAGTAACATAATAGGTATAATGCATAAATACATTGTTTGATATTTTATATTAATTTTTAACATTTTATATAATGGATATAAATAACAGTTACTGTTTTTGATATTTGTATTTACATTTTTTTAATTTTTCTTACTAATATTTTTATTGAATTTTTTCGTCCAATTGTCCCAACGTTCAAACGACCAAACCACGTCCAAACAGCTACCATTTTAAGATATTTTTACAACGACATAAATACGAAATAGTAGTAATACTGTAGATTATAGACTATAGTACATATGTACTTTTTGTATTGTATTGCATATTAACTTTTAAACAAAAGTTGTATACATTGTCATGTTTATATATGCGGTGCTTGTTAACTTTATGTTAAATCATGTATTGATTTAAAGGAATTTTCATATTGTTATTTTATACATATTAGCTAAACATACATAAATATAATTACATTAAAATGTAAATGAGTTCGTCATGTTTTTATAAAAATAACTCGTTGTATCACGGTTCTATGCGAATAGTCCAATGAATTACCTATGATTGATGACTAAAATATTAAGCTCGCTGTGGCTTACCCTTACAAATATTTTGCAAATGACAATTTAATTAACATTTAAGACGCTTTATTGAAATATTCAAAACAAGTATATTAAATACCTGTACTTATCTAATGTAAACAGTGACAGATTTAGGGGGAACCCATTCCTTGGGAGTTTAAAAGCACCCATTGTTCCGAATATTGAACTTTTTGTGTATTAAAAATTACTTGGATATAAGGTATCACTAACAAATTGTCAGAGCCGTGCCAAGGGGGTGGAAAATGGGGAATGTGCTTTAGTTTGGCAAAAGTTGTTATGGGGCAATGTATGTTTAATAGGGATACCAAATATTATTGCCCTGGAGCACCAATGAAAGTTAGCACGAAACTGGAAGTTGTAGAACTAAATGCATTAATTGTAGAAAATCCTAGATCCACCACTGAATATAATCTAAACACGTATTTTGTATACATTTAAATATGAATAAGAATTTCTACACTGGTAGGCCTCCCATATATATTCATGTTTTTAAATTCCGAGTGGAGCGACAAATGTATTGATTTTACAATGATGTGTGTTTTGTTTTTCTGTCATCACCCTTTGGGGGGGGGCAGTAAAAAAGCTTAGCTTTTATGAGCGTCTGAAGTTTAAAATTTTACGGAATTGGATATTCACCCATAAAATAACGATTTTCTTATTTTGTTGTAATTTATAAACAAATATCCGTAGATACTTGATATTTTAAACAAACGCTTTTTGAAGCATTTTCTTTAAATTGTATACTTGTTTTAATATTTTATAGCTAAGGATTCCAAATTTAAAACAAAGGTGCTCATAAATAGTTCATACTGTAACCAAAAATTCCAAAAAATATATTAACACAGTTATTTTTTACAGACATTTTAAATTCAAATTTGGACGAAATTACTTACTAAAAAACCTAGAATAACTATTTTAGTTTTTTTGTTGTGATTGAATAATATTATTCGTGGGTACTTGATACTTCTAAAGTGTATTATTATATATCTATGATAGTATCACGGTTTTTGTTGATGTATAACGCGTTATAAGTACCTAATGGATATTGGGATATGATTAATTTGGAATTTATTATAGGTACCTATTATAGGTCAATTTTTTGTTTAATACCATAGATATTTATAAAATATGTCTTATACCTAGACTGACATACTGTCTCCGCTCAGAATCGTTTTTCTTATACAATGATAATATATCGTTGAATTCAAATTTAATATCATCCATTATACAGTGATACACTTGTAACCTACTGTACAGCAGAGAGACACCCACTTGCCCACCTTTTTTTAAGTTAAACATATTTAAACCCTATACAAAGATACTCAATCTGCTCGTACTAGATATAGAGTACAGTGAAATGCTTAATACTAAATATTTTTTTTATTTGTGTTTGTTCTGGTTTATTTGAACTTTAATACTTGTATAATTTTTATTGATTGTATAATGTACTGTAAATAATATCACTGATATTATGACAAAATTAATTTTCTTTGCGTTACCCACTAGCATGCGTATGTCCTATGGGCTAAGACGTCCAAAATTTAAATTATTTACTGGCGAATTGTTATAAATGAGACTTAAACGAGTTCCGACATACCAACTAGTTTCACACCGATAATGATTTTGAAAACCAATTTTATTTTTTTGTTAAATCAATTTTGGATCTTACGAGATAAGTTATTAATATATTAAAATAAAATATACAGTTTTAAATTTATTTTATAATTCTGTCACAAATAATTCAAAATAAACTTTATAATTAATTAAGATATGTGTTCAAATTTATTAACCGAGTACAACTCAATTCAGTACGTCAGACTAAGTTTATTTTGCTCCAAAAACCGGTCAAGTGGAATCCCCTTAATATATAATATTTATATAATCTGGAATTTAAACTATTAGTTATTCAAGTAAAACATAAGTTATTTTTAAAAGCACAAAACAATGTGTATCAACTAAATGTACAAGTAGTGCCTACTTATTGAGTATACATACTATTATACTAATGTTTATTGTATTAATTGTATGCAAAAAATATCATAGCTTTATTCAACAAGATTTGTTGCACGGCGTGATGTACAGGCAATATAGCTACACTCCGGTATTAAATGAACCTCAAAGAATTCCTATGTCTTGCCGTCTTGGTTTGTATAGAGTATGTCATCTGATAAAATATTTCCGCATAAAGATAACAAACGAGTCAAAGTAGAAAAAAAGATATAAAAAATAAAAAATTGCTTATTCTTTTTAGATATTATATTTTGTGTACACATTTCTCGGAATAGATTAGTTGTATGACTATGCCAGGCATAGGTAGGTTACGTCTAACGTAGCAGACATTCGGTTAGGAAGTGAGGAGGTTTTAAAATAACAAACATATATAATAAAGGGTATACTCAAAAGGTTCTTTAACTTCGCATACCGAACTAGAGACTGGTGGCACTAAAATATCAAAGTATCAAGTATACACAGTGACACTGAGACAGTGCAAACCGATTTATGTTCAAACAAAAGCATAATGGAAAATTTTTTCTAAAAAAAAAAATCATAATATATAGCGCATTGCACTTAACGAAATTTGGTTATCATTTCAATATACAAACAATTTTCACTCTACTGTATTATAATTAACTATAATAATAAATAGTCTAAAGCCAAGCTTTTATAAAATACGCTTTGATGTATTTAAAATGTTCTAAATGCTTAATTCAAATCCATATTTCAGGAAAATATTCTTGAGTTGTTATTGATTCACAACACAATGGTATTTTGACAATGTCTTATATTTTAAAACGATAAGTTTTATAATGGCGAATTGACAACGATGATAATTTACGCAACGTATTTTATACCTAATGATCATATTATTATACGGTGTATCATAAATATATATATTCTCAAAACTCAAACACATTGTATATAAATTGGAATGTTTACACAAACACTCATAGACTGATATTGCAGCCAGTGGCGTAGGTACCCCCTCTTCCATTTCCGTATTATTATTTTTATCATGATTAAACTGTAGTCAACTATCAAGCAAGGGCATAAATTCATATATGTCTTAATGGATTAGCTATAGCAAACATAAATTTAAAAAAAAGGAACAATGGGTACTGCTCTACTGTACTGAATGTATCAAGTGGGTCACTGTAATGGATGTGTTAAAATTGAATTCAGTGATACCTATATATTATTGCATACGAAAAACAAACCTGGGTGAAGACAGTGTGTCAGCCTAGGATTATTTTATATTATACTAGCTGTATCACCTGAATTCGATCGAATAATCGTTATAGTAATGTTAAAGTCAATTTTTTTAATATTGATTTTACAAATTCAGCTAGTCGTGGTATAAAAATAAAGTGATCGGTGTTTTCCATACAACTCTCGTGTACTTAATAGTATTAATATTAAAACTATATATGTAACAACATAATATATCTATAATTATATGTAGTTTATAAATTTGGTCAGTCTATATTTACGACAGAGTTCTTAAACGATTATATTATAATCACCAGGGGAGGACTGGGAATAAAAATTGGCCCAGGGGAAACAGAAAACTCGGCCAAATTCTGGACTAATAATAAAATATTTATAAATTATCAGCCCAAATTTAAATACAGAACATCCCCTCTCCACCCCCTACACACACAAAAAAAAAGAAAAATTGGGTGACATGGTTATTGGCGACACTCAGGTCAGCATTTGGAACAACTCTATGAAAATAGGTGAAACGTTCAATAGTTTCGTCAGAAAATTGGTACAAAAAACTGGCCTGTTCTTTTGTATGTATTATAAGGATTAATATTGATTTTAGTAATAATGTAGGTAGGTTAAATTCATTTTTGCAAAAAACAATGTATTTGCATACCTATTTTTCTAAATTGATTAGTGATTTTTTTGGTTACATCATGAAATACTTATATGGGGGGCTTGAGCCTTAGCTGAACATATTTCTGTACATTTTTAAATATTAATGAACTGTGGTTACCTATGTCGAAATTTGAACTTAAAATAATTTTTTAAATAACTATATATTACAAACTTATGAGAAACCTTTATAGTTATTACATTTTAAGGCTTTTTGACTGAACGGTTAATTTTTTGTCAACATTTTTAGAAAAACAACTAAAATTAATCAAAGATAATCTACGCGAAGGGGGTCTAATATTAAGGTTACCAAACATTTAATTTTTTTTAGACAATATTAAAATTTTGGAAAATTTTCATATTTTTGTCCTCGATTGTTTTAAAAAATACTATCAATTTTTAATTATAACCTCCCAAAAGTATCAAATAGACTGAAGACTAAAAAAGCTCAACATTTAAATATTTAATACAAAATTTATCATACATTTTTCTTATATTATATACTTATATATTTTTTAAAGCTTTTAAAGACCAAGTTATTCAACAAAATCATTTTTTGTATACAATATTTTATCATTAATCTTTATAATATGATTGAATTAAAATTTAACACATTTATTACAGTTAACAACTCTATGATGAGGTGCACTCTACTCTACGAACTGTAATGCAGAATGAAGTTTACCGATTTATTTTATAACACGTCATTAACCATTAGAAAACAAATCCCTCTTTTGTTTTATCAAATATGTACAAATTTGAAATATCCATCGTATTGTTTTAAAGTTTTTGACTATTGAATAACTTTCAGTTCTCTTCAAGATATATCTTTTATTATGTTATAATTTATAAGTTTATAACTGTACATTTTTACATAAAAAAAAATCTGAATTTTGTCGTATTCAATACTCAAGTATTTAACATTGATTCAAACTTTATATTTTAGAGTTTTCTAAATATTGTTCCAAGCATTTTATTGAATAAACATAGAATATTATACTACTCCTAGTCTTTTTTAATAATTTATAATATGTAATTAAGGTTTTATTAAATTGAATGAAGTTTCTGTTTGTCCTAAAAAATGTACGATTTTATTTCCCTAAAAATGTTGTGAATATAATATTAAAATTACAATTAACTCTTTGAGGGGCGAAAATTTCATTTAGAAAAAAGACCCATGTGGGCAATATGTCTCTTTACCATAACATTTAGTACGTATATCAAAATATTGATAATGATAATAAATGATGAAAAACCCGAGAAATGATATCAGACCAGCGGCAGTGATATTGTTTGATGCATGTATAAGATGATAATAAGGTGATTGGTATGCTGACCATCATCAAAAAAATATTAAAAATAATTTTAAAAGTGGTTAAAATAGTAACCACCGCACCTGAACGGTAAAAAAAAAGTGGTTAGCATACTAACCACGGCCCCTCAAAGAGTTAACTGTTTCAACTAAAATAAAATAGATTTTTCAAAATTATAATAATTGGTTGGATAAATTAATATTAAGTTAAATATATCACTCTGTACTCCTTTGTATTTAAAAAATAAAAATATGATATCAGATTAAAATTAAGTACCTATATTCTTCTCAACGGTTTGATTGATTATTCGTTTGAATATTACGAAAATCGTATTAAACGTAAACGATTTTCTATAAAAATGTTTAAATTATGCAAAGCTAAATATATTAAATATATTGCTTTAAATTCAAAGTTCATGAAACAAATTCGTATCTTTATTAAATATATTATATTTGGTTCGCAAATTTCAGTTCAAAACCTCTGCTCCCAATAATAATGCAGTACGAGTATATTACGTAATTTATTATTAATAAATGATTTGATATAATTATTAGAATATATGATATATAAATGTATGGTATAACTTAAACCACACATTTACAATTATACTGATACAGTGTATAAGTGTGGTATCCAACTTAAATTACCTATACTTTATATACTTACTTATACTTATAGTTAAATGTAACATATTGTATAGCTTTCTCTACATTTATTTATGGATTTGAAATAATGCTTGATGCTTCTACCACTTTTCTATTTTATTATTATACGAAATACAAATTTAATACTAACTTTTATATACCTAACCTTAGAGGATTTTTTATTACAAAAATGTTTATGTGTGAATTAGACAAAAGTTAAAAAATGTTGTATATTATGTCTTATGTTGTACCTATATAATATGTTAATATATTAATATCATAATTTATTTGGTAAAATATATGATATATATACTTTAATAGTATCATATATTTATGTATGACACATAAGAGTATAATAATTTCAAATACCTACCTAATTCAAAGTTTTAAATAATAAAGAAACTATAAGAGAATCTACCTATTCAATATAAATATTGGACTAATGCCGTTAACTTTTTTGCACGTTAATACAATTCACTTAAAAATAAACCAAAATAAATTATACGTTTTTGAATAATAAAAATCGTTTGACACATTTCGAAATATTTTTGTTATAAAACACAGTTTTCTATAGTAATATGCAAGTACAATGAACAGTATACTTACACCTATTGGTATCTAACTTAAGCATATTACCCTAACCCTGTAGGTACTGTATAATTTGATTGCACCCTACTTTTATAAATATAAATGCATAAATAAAATAACTAAACATAAATATAAATACACGTTTATTTCAAAATGTCTGTTAAACGTCTCTTCGGTTAACCATCACAGCCCCGATGGTACCGACGGTACCGACGGTGACGGTTAATCAAAGTTCTACTGTACTCACTCAAAAACGCAAAACTTCAAAACAAAACAATATTTTAAATTAAAAAAAACAATATATGTTAAGACTAGTTTGTATTAATTATATAAGACTACCAAAGTTTCAAATAAATCAAAAATATGACTAGAGTATTGTACCTCTACGATAGATATCATAAAGGTAGTAAATACTAAATAATATTACAATGTAAGGTCATGAATAATCTATATAATATATTTATTAAAATGTTCTAAGAAATTCAAAGATTATTAGAATTAATTGTATATTATGTTCTATACATGATCCATGATATTTGTTAGACCTTATGGTTAAATCAATAAGACGTTTATAAGATAATTAATAGGTACCTACGTATAATAACTTTAATATAACTGCAAACTTACCACAAGGCAAGTCAATATCTTCAACTTCTGAATCATTACGTTTTGGTTCCAGTTCTGGTACCGATTCTGGTTTTGGATCTGGTTCAGGGTCTTCAGTGAATATGACTTTGTGATAATGTTGCAGACTTCCAGAGAAGTCGGCTGAAAAATGTTTGATTTAATTAAATGTCTAGATAACTGACATTAATTTCTTGGCAGGTGGCACTGCTGGGAGCCTACCTATTTTACAATTAATGTTCCTAGTTTCCTACCGTCAAATGTTATTTTATGTCACCACACTTACTCATTATACCTGTAGTATGGATTGTAAATGTTTTTAAATAATAAAAAAGAAAGTAAAAACTAATAATTAATGTTCAATTTTATACTTGTAACGTATAATTCTCTATAATTTATGGAATGCACATATATCTTCAAATATAATTAATTTAGGTTTAAAACTTTAAAATTTTGTTGAACAAAATTTAATTTTGAATTTTTATATTTTGTATAAAGAAAATATACAATTATATCACAAGATAACAATACTTATTTTTTTCTAAATTTACGAAACGGTTACATCAAGTGACTTATAGTAACATACTGATATAGGCTTATAGTAATATAGTTACCTGTCTATATTTAATACCTATCTAGTATCTACTGGATATGTATTCTGTATAAGTAAAGTATATACAATTGAAATGAGTTAAATAATTAATGCGTAATGACAAACAGCCAAAGCATATGTTGTAATTAAATAATTGAATATTTATAATTTGTGTAATATTTACTAACTGCATATGAGATAATTTTCGTCTTCTCCGTGTTGACAATCAGAAAAATTATTGCATTTATATTTATTTGCAATACAAACGTCCGACTGGATGCACAAAAATGAACCTTCGTGACAATCGCTAGAGCCTAAAAGTGATTAAATGATATTATCTGGTTATAAGTTTGACATACTTGAACATCGTAAAAAACATTCACTGACCATAATTTAAGTACAAAGTAATAAGGGTCAGTGAAAAGAGACAGGAGATAATGAAAGTACTAATAATGGCCGATCGAGTTGCTGGCATTGTGATTTTCAGAGATATGAACGTTGTTGAACACTACTGAGAAGTGACGGTAAGCTTGGACATTTATTCAAATTTTCCAAATGTTTACAATTTGTGTTTGTTCGTCATCACCCCCCACTGTTATAATCTGTGACGAACGCAATAATTACAATATTATTTAATGGCAACTAAAATTCAGATTGAATGGAGTGGTGGGTAGACAGGGTCCGCAATTAAACCCTCTGGTACACTTTGCATATTAATTTATTACAATGTATAACTAGCGTGTTCGGATTATGAATAAACAAATCTAAAATTATGGTCTATTCATGTCGATGGGTTATTAGTAAATTACACATTGAACAAATTTCATTGGAAAATTAAATCAAAACTACTTTGTTTACGAGTTTAATTTTGTATACAAAGTTTTGTATATTGAACTAAAATTATTATCAGGATGATAAACCTATTTATTAACTTAAATAACTCAAAATCTTGAAAACTAAAATGATTTTTTATATAATTTGAAATCTTAAAAAATTGAAATTTTCAAATCAAAGTATATTTTTATTCTTTTTAATGACATCGTACATTTTTCATTTCATAGTCCAAAGAAAAAGTAAAAAACTTAAAAATTATAATAATAAAAAATAATAGAAAATATAACTTCAAATAAGTTTAAAATAATATTTTCAAAAATATTGATTGTTTTCGAAATAATGTGTCTTACATTAAAAAGTTCCCCCTGTATATGCATAAATATGGAATTTTAGTCAATACCTACTTTTAAATATCTATCCTATATATCAATATGTGTATAACTACTGTAGGTATTATTTATTTATCAGATTAATTATTCTAATGCGCCTGTTCTAATTACTCTATTTTTATTTTATTTATTTATACAATATTCAATTCAATAATGTTATAAATGATACTATATAACATTAAATATATTCAATATTTGTATTACAGTGTTTATTGTACGAATACATTTATTAATTTGACAAAATTTGCAAATTTAATCTTCGAACATAATCATCTTTGTAATTTATTGATATGCAATTACGTGCTTAAAAAAATTCAAATAATATAGATACCTACCTAGTATTTGAGATTAAATGTATTTGTAATGCATGTAAATAATGAATATGATATTAATTAGAACCTATTTTAAGATAAATAATAATAGAAACTCTTTTTACAGTACCAGATGATGTATGTTAACCTATTTTACGTATGCACCTGGAACTACCAATCCTATACCTAGTGATCTGTCATTCGGTGACAAATAAAACAAATAATTAGATAACAAACCACAAATCTGGGATACTAAGAAAAAAGGAATCTCGACTGTGGTAGACTATTGCCTATGGCTTTTCCGTAACTCGATTTATGTTAATAATTGTATTGTTTATTTATTTAATTCTTAGGTGATACCGTGAAGTCTGAAACTAACATTACAATGCATGCACATTAAATGAAATAAGTTGATCACTTAATATGTATTGCAACTTTGGCTATAAAAATTCAAACAATTAACCTAATTACGTCCCGGATTTCGTATCTGCTGATTCTGCTGTATGTTTTTACCTACGAGCTACCATAAATGTTGTTAAATTAACGATAAATGGCCGCATATTATTGATGTGTTTTTATTATTTAATGCAATTAATTACACAGTAATAGCTAATGATGATAAGTGAAAAATATAATTACAATTTACATTACAAAAAATACATTGATAATTTTCAAGCAATAAATTATAATACGAATAAGATAAGTAATATAATAATAATATGTAGTCTCCAATTGAACATTTGAAAATAAAACTATAAAATTAGAATATTTTGATTGAAATTGATAAAATCGAATATCCAACGTCTAGTTAATTTCTTATACGTTTTTAAAGTATAGACGAGGATGAGTGGATCAACATGTTGTGCCGTACACCCGTGAGACCTGTTCAGGGACCTCTGTCTCTGTGTGAACATTTACCCAAGCCAAATAATTAAGGCCCCACGTGGCCAAGTCCCAAGGTACCAAAAAAGTTAATTTAATCTTATAGGTACAATCGAAAATCCTAGACCCGTTACAATATAAATAATGTCCGTATGAGTGTATACTAAACTATATTTAAAAATAACACCATAGGTACTGTAATATTTTAAACGAAGTACCTATATTTACGGAGAATTATGAATTACAATGATAAAACATTTAAATATATTATTGCAATATAAAAATATCTAATACTTAGGCTACACTCGGTTTATAATACGGATTCATATTGAAGGTGTTGAGTCATTTTAAGTCATTCAAAGCCAATATTTGACAAGTAAAAGATTTTTAGGATATAATCTGTTTATTGATTCCAAAATAAACTACAAAAAATTGGACATGACAACCTAGTTTGAAAATAACTTGATTGAAAAACAAAATGTCATGATAATTCATTTTCTAGTATTAAAGAACTTTTTCAACATATAGAGCAAACATTTAAAGTTCGAATATATTTTACTTCAATAGACAAATTCCTATTACATTTACATACAACATACCATTCCATACTAATCAGTTATTATGAAAACTTGTATCAAGTATTTTTTCTCCAATAATGAATTCACTAGAAACACAAAATTATAATTATTCAGAAAAAAATAAGTTAATATTTATCGAAGGCCTATCCTATTGATATAACTGCTAGAGAGCTAAAAGAGGAGTTACGATTTTTTTAATTACTCTACAAAGAATCAAAGTTGATAATAAATGTAAATAACTATGGGTACTAAATGTAGGTACTCTTGTTACAATATAATAGAATATTTTTCCACAGTATGTATGATAATTAGTATGATTGCGTATATTAGTATTTAGTAGTAGCCTCAGGACCTAGGAGAAAACAATTTTAGTAATTGTCTAATTTGATGAATGTCTTGTCTCCGTCTTACACTGCACGTACGACATACCAAATTTCTTTCACTATAGTTTGAATTGTGTGCTGTTACTTTTTATAATAGAGTGAATTGACCAATGGTATAAAAATTTTAGGTAAGAATATATAAATTATATGTGCTTCAGTGTCGGCTTTAATTCGATATTTTAATTTTCAAGCGAGATATGAGCATTTTAAAAAAATTGCCGAATCTTAAGCGCACAAAATATAATAATGTTTGAAAAGTTTAATAATAAGTCAATTCACTCTAATATCAAAATTAGCAGCACACTTAAAGACAGAGACAGAGACAACAAACGTATGAGTAGCATCATCATAATACAACTCAGATCTTGAGAAAACGAAAGTTTAACTTTAAAGAACCTCCTTGTATATATTTATTGCGTGTATAATATATAATATTATGCATGGAAAGACTTTGACTGTAAAAATAAAATAAAAATGAGACAGAATGAAAATGGTCTTGATGAAAGCAATTAATTAGCATAATACTTAACAGCTGGTTGTTTAAAATCATTCAAATGAAATTAATTTTGTATAGAGATCTTGGGAATGCAATTCATTTGTAGCGACTCTGCGATTCTCTGTAATGGAACCTCTAATATCTGATTTAGATGGATTTTTAACACAAATTGTTTGTAATAAGTAATAACTAATAACTTATAAGGAAATAGGAAATTCAAATAAAATGTAACTATGTATAAGTACAAGACTGTGTATGGCAAGTTCCTTATAAAAAGGAGTTAGTTCCGTTCTTTGTTCCTTAAAAAAAAGAATTTGATCCTCTGTCATTCCTTTGGAAAATGGACGAGTTCCTCTTTTAATTCCAAATAAAATAAAAATTATTATTTAATCATCAATGTTTTTTCTTCATATGCATACTTCTTTAATGTTTAATTATAATATTATATACCTAGAAGTAGGTACATATTTTATAATTCTATTTTGAGATTTTCTTCAAAATTAAATTGTTGGCGTTTATTTATATAAATAATTATATTTTATATAGGTTAGGTACTATGTAGGTTATATTAGGTACTATCTAAAAATATATATGTCTTAATTTCAATTATTTACATATCTGTATAAATTATTGGAACTAGAAAGAAACGAACAATTTTGTTATTTTTCCTTGAAAAAAAACTCGTTCATTTTCTTGTTCTTTTTTTTATAAAAAGGAATTTGTTCCAGGAGTCCAAACACTGGTACAAGATAATTTATTCTTTTTCATATTTTACTTTAATATTCATAAAATTTAAAACTCAATCATAAATTATTATATTGTGGTAGTCCAAGATAAAAATACATATATTTCTTAATAATGTAATTTCAAATAATATACTAGTAGATAAATCTGAATAGCTGGTACCTATATATTTTAGATTCTGAGTGAAGTTATGATTGTATTGATTTAGGTACAACGACGTGTGTTTTTTTTCTGTCTGTTAACATTTTTCTAGTACAAATAATGCATCGATTTACGTTAAGTTATTGGACAATAACAACAACTAATAAAAAAATGATGCTTATTGTTTTGTGCACTATTGTTTTCAGATGCAACAATTACTATTTTAAAATTAAATGCCTGCTTAACTTCCGCAGACTCCTTATAGTATATCTAAGAGATATAGAATATAAATACTGCTATATTATACTATATAGTACCTACAACTAATGCACAAAAAAAGTTTTAATAATGTTTCTAATACTTTACGTGGTGATAAAATATTATATATAATATTAAGTTTCGTTGTGAAAAATAAATAAATTTACCACTGCAACGATTTAAGTAGCATTAGGTAGTATTGAATTACAATTACTTTACCTTTTACTTTCGGTTATACATTGATTGTACATTTGTACCACAAAATTATTAAGTAGGTATTTGTCAAAAAAAAAAAAAAGTTTTGATTTCGAGCATTTAAAAATAATTAAAAATTCAATTTCGCTTAGTTGTGATGAGTTTATAATTCAAGTCATTTGCACACAATTTTGTATTGAGATTCTTGTAAAAAGAAGATCCAACCATTTTTAAACGAATGTCTACTGCATTTTACAATAAACT